TCTTCAAACGTAGCTTGAAGATTATCTATAATGATATAGGTTTAACGGCAGCTGCTCCTGGCTGCACTGATGTTCTTAAACATTGGAGTACCCCGTCTGTCTTCGTTAATAAAAAGTTCATAATGTAAAGTTTAAAATAATTTCACTCTGCTATCACTAGAGTGTATAAGCAATGGAAACCTGCAACGAAACTCAGCGAGAAACTGGAGAGAGTCTAAGTAGAGACCCGTGGACCAGGGTCAACTTAACAACACAAAGTGGGACTCGAGCTGCTGTGGCAGAACCCTCGAAATACACGAGAGCTTCCACCAGATGGGTCTGGGGAACACAAGCGACATCACGGGGCACTGATTAATCTGATATTCGTGAAGCAATAGGTAGTTCACTCAAATAACTAACATAGTTGTGCTGTAAATGAACTCTTGACGACACCTTTGACGGCTTAAAAAAATCGTCAGATGCATTGTTTTGTGCTTTTGTACTTATGGTGGGGCGTATTGTAAGCTCGTATGGGTAGGTACCGTACTGCCATTTCTGCCTCGAAGTAGTCATATACAATTGAGTCTTCAAATGCGAGTTGATATCTCAGACACGGTTTGGATGGGGGCTGTTCTGTCTGACGCGGCGCAGTGAAAGACACTCGCTAACTCGTGACTGCCGACAATTGGATCTCGCGGTTATACAACCGATGAGCAACGCTTTTACACAGCCTGCGTTTTTAATTAGCACTTTCATATTTTTATTGAATTGGTAGATATGGCGTTGAGCAGCCAGGCTAAATACCGGAATTCCGCTCACGCTGCTTGCCGAGGTAAAACTGAGTCTTGATTACATCTAAGGCGATGACGGCTTCACGACAGGAATATAGTACAGCAAGATAGAGCATTAGCTCCCATCCATACTGGTTTGCTATCTCATAACATCCATTTTCGTGAAACCGTCTTCAAAACTAATTTAATAGCTTTTTTCCGTGGTTATCGCACCATCTCCTTTGAGGCGGCGTGTGTACTGGCTGGGACGCCGCCTTGGGCTCTGGAAGCGGAGGCGCTCGCCGCTGACTATCAGTGGCGGGCTGACCTTCGCGCCCGGGGCGTGGCGCGTCCCAGCCACAGTGTGGTCAGAGCGCGGAGGGCACAATCTCGGCGGTCCGTGCTGGAGTCATGGTCCAGGCGGCTGGCTGATCCTTCGGCCGGTCGTAGGACCGTCGAGGCGATTCGCCCGGTCCTTGTGGATTGGGTGAATCGTGACAGAGGACGCCTCACTTTCCGGCTCACGCAGGTGCTCACTGGGCATGGTTGCTTCGGTGAGTTCCTGCACCGGATCAGAGCCGAGCCGACGGCAGAGTGCCACCATTGTGATTGCGACTTGGACACGGCAGAGCATACGCTCGTCGCCTGCCCCGCATGGGAGGGGTGGCGCCGTGTCCTCGTCGCAAAAGTAGGAAACGACTTGTCGTTGCCGAGTGTTGTGGCATCGATGCTCGGCGACGACGAGTCGTGGAAGGCGATGCTCGACTTCTGCGAGTGCACCATCTCGCAGAAGGAGGCGGCGGGGCGCGTGAGAGACGCACAATCCCGCCGCCGTCGAGCGGGGGCCAGGGAGGCGGATCTCGCCCAAGCCCTGGCCCTCTAAGTGTTTCGGG